CTTCCCCCTAAGAAATCCTGGATCCGCGCCTAGTAGTAGTAGTAGTAGTAATAATTTCGGCATAATTTTTCAATTTCCGAGTGAGAAAACGTAACAAATGAATGCCACAGAGCTATAAATAGAGCTATTCCGCTCTGCATAGTTCGTTGGATATAATGAAAGGAACATCAAACTAGAAATGCAATCGTGTCACAACGATGTGCGTGCAATGACGCCATGTTTCTACGTGTCAAACGAAAGAGCTTCTCTCGGACTATCCAGAGCAATTTGTACGAAGTCTGTAGCTTCTGTTATATTTGAGATAGGTAGGGCAAAATAAAGACCTCAACCGTGACCTTGATTGGTAGTGACTACGCCTACGAAGTTTGAAAGAAATTGGGATAGGGGAAAAAAACCTAGAAAGAGCTTGCAAGCACTGTGTGCAAAAACCAATGGGATTTGGTGCATGTTCGTCATTGCAATAAAGATCGTTCTGGGGGCGAAAAGCGTGAACCCGATATGCCCCATAGACAATGCGTGTAATGGGCGGAAAACTTACAGGATCTGTATTATGACCGGAGTTAAAAAATATTTTTCTCTCTCTCTTTATGTCTCTTTATGGGCCGTATTTGGTATCATTAGAAAGATAATTTCATGGTTGTTATTGTAAACCAATCTCTTTTTTTCTATGGTAATCCTATGAAACACGTGATGTAAAATAGATGTATAGGACAAAATGGCGTCTTAAATGACCCCCTTGACCAATTTTAAAAATCCGACCACTAGGTGCCCTGCGTATTGCAACTCGGAATGTCACTGCAAAATTTCAAGGAAAAAAAGGGACGTTTAGGGGGCGAAAAGCAGCCTGAAAAAATGACGTCATAGCCGATACGTGTTATAATATTGGGCGGAAACTCGGCGGAATTCGTATAATGACCCTTGTTCAAATGTGATTTACTCAAAATTTTCTGTGTGAACATATACCATACTTGGTATCATTCGAAAGGGCACTTCATTGCGGTCAGTTTGACACCATTGTCATCTGCATGCAATGTACTGCACGCATTAAAGGCGCTATTACGTAATGCATAGCAAATTCAGCGATAACTTTGCGCTGACGTTATTAAAATTTACTTAACTTGGCAGACAGTTGTCACGTATATGGATACATGTGTCTGCCAAGTTTCATTGACGTAGGTATAAAGATCGCCATTGTAGACCAAGTTGAAGTTGAAGTTATTTCTCAATTTTCTTGAAAACTGCATATTTTGAGGGCATTTTTCGCAAAGTCGGTCAGTGTTAGGATATATAATTTTGTATATGGCTGGAAAGGGCATATCTTCAAGTATCTAAATCCAAAAAAGGGTACGGGTTAGCCAAGCCATTATGGAGATACGGCCACAGAAAGAAAGCCAATTCCCAGAACTTTAGAGGGCGCTAATTATATTTTGCATTGCCATTGGAGCGTGAAATTTGGCATGGCTATCAGCAATTATGAGACAAAGATACTGTGAGATTTGAATACAAAACGGACATTATATGAGAAAGTTATGGCAGTTTTAGCATTTTAGGGGTCAATTCTTCAAGAATTTGAGAGATTTTTGACGGAGACGGTTTCAGATTTGAATTTCGAGTACGAAGATGGCATTTTGAAGGTCAGGTTATACGTCGCAGATGAAAGAACATCTCTTAGACTATTTAGAGGAATTTGTTAGAAATGTGTAGGATCTAGGATAGTGGAGATAGGAAGGAAGAAGTAAAGGCCTTAAAATAGACCAGAAACGGACAAAATGGCGCCTGGACGGTTATGCATGAGCGATTTCGAAAATCGAAGAATGTAGTGACCTTGATGAGATGTTAGACACTATAATGACTGTGAAATTTGAAAGGAAAAGGACACGAGGAAAGCACCGAACCAGGAATAACAAGCACTACGTGCAAAACAAATGGGATTTCTGGACGATAAGGAAAAGGAGAATATTAATGGGGCAGAATGTGAACGAAAACAAGGCAATGACGAAAGTCGTCATTGCAATTAGCTAGCGAACCAATATTTTGATGCAAAACGAGCAAAAATATTTGTGAACTCGTATTCACCAAATATTATTCCCGTCGCTATCAAGTACCAGAACTTGAACACAGTTTTGAAATAATTATCGTTTTCGCACTCTTATTAAACTACAGATAGGATGATATGAATAGGGCAAAGTTGTACGACTCTTGTTTTCTGACGAAAATTGCTCCACGTCAATTTTCTACACTGACCAAGCTCTCAAAGGGCAATTCAAACCTTGTTAAAAAAAAACAATCATATGGAAGCATCAAAATATAAAGAGAAACAGGATGGCGAAAGTATGAAATACACCGGATTAATAATAAGAGGGTAATGCATGATTGAAATATGAGATCACTAAGTCTATGCAAATCTCGAATTGATTGTGACCTAGTCATCGACAACTCTCCCGTTTGTCGTGGACAAAAATTGTTAATTTCTGTATTTCTCTCTCTCTTGGGGCAGTAGTAAACATATGTAGCGAATAAGCATATTATCATCAGTTCTCTCGAAAGAAAAGGCCCTCCAGAGTCAAACATTTTTTTTAATTTTTTTTTTATTTTAGTCATTTTGTATCTTGAAACAAATTGAAAAGCTGCACTACGTCACAGAGACACGCCCATTCAGCCAATTCGAAGTGCCCGTAGTGATAACAACTTTGAATAATACATAACTTTCTCATTTTTCGTCCGATATCATTCAAACTTTCACCAGTCTGCTTCTCAGACTTGTATGCTTTATTTTAGAGTAGTTGTCTATAGATATTTGGATTTTCCTGTAAATGGAACGAACACTATTCCCAACCCTAACTCTAATCCTTACCCTAACATAAGTCAATTGCAAATCTAACCCTAACCATTCACCTTTGACGAAATAAAGCCAGAACAAGTTGACGGGGGATAAACAAAAAAATGTTTGGTCGGCAAGGGCAGTGAAAATCACCAGGCAAAACAATAAATTTTAGAAGGGGCACTGCCACTGATACCTATGAAAAGGGTATCCGATCGCTATGGAGTATGGTCTTCATGGCCTTTGATATATTTAAGTCATGCTTATATTTCATATGTTAATTTTTCAAAAGCCTGAAAATATGCCTTTTTACACCAAACAGAACAAAATGCAATGATAATTTGTTGATCAGTGTTTTTTTTAAATCCCGTTTATTACTCATTTCGCAGATTGTAGCAAAAACCTTTGTAAAAACGGCTGGTGTGAGGAGACTATGGTAGGCTACAACTGTAACTGCTTAAGTGGATTTCAGGGGAGACACTGCGATGAACGTAGGTGTACTATAATAGTAGGGTGATCACACTGCCTGTGCAAACAGTCTGCCCCGCGAACACACACACACACAACAGCATGCAGTCAGTTGGTAGAAATAGCAATTTTTGTAAATGTATTTAAAAAAAACTAAACAATATTTGTAAATTTTTATTTCACATATATTTCAAGCATACCTTTAACTACAATTCTGTGTAGTTTCATTGTTATAGGCATGTGGGAATTTTTTAATTATTTAATTAGAGTATTGTCTTTTCAGCCATGTGTGACATGGCCCGCTGATCGCCCATTGACTCGCGCTGCTATTCTGCGTGGTGAAAATGCACCTCAATGTATAAAACTCCCCTAAAAAAATGCAATATCCTCATATGTTTCACTCATTGAATCAATTTGTTATTTACACTCAAGGTAGCCACAACTGTACTGGGGTCACCAAAATTTTTGCCACTCTGAAATTCATTCCCTGTGGAATGTTATGGCCTGTTGTATGGTTTCTCGGAAAATCGTCTTAAATCCTCAAATCTGACATCTTTTAAATAGGCAAATATACTGTGATGTAGCTGAAAGTCTACAAATTTTTATCGTATGATCGGTTTTTCTGAATTATTTGTGAAACACATGAGGAAATAGCTGTGACGGTGATCCAAGTAATTTCCATCGCCATATTTTATTGGCATTGCAAAAATATTTGGAATTGAAGGTTAATATTTGGTGTAAATATGATCTATGAATATATGATTTTAAAAATGCCCCAAAAATGAACAGTTTGACTTTCCTAAATTGCATAATGAGTGCGCGAATATATAATTAGCTGAAATGACCTAATTTGCATATTTGATGAATATTCGGGATTTTTTTAAATTTCAAATGAAATATATTTCCATACCTGTCTGATATACATAGGTTTCACTTATGTATCATGTTCGGTTTTGATTTGATTACATATGCGCATATTAATTAGGCGGACTTAGTTATTTTTACAACTTATTTATATCTGCAGATTCGCAAAAATGGCAAAAATGACTTATTTTGTTGGCTTCTGTTTTCAAAACGGTAATAGATATATGAATCTTCTTTTTTGTATTTTTTACCACAAAGATGATATTTTAGTGTCTGATAATTTAATTTATTATTTGTGTCCAAGAAAGTGATGAATTAAGTTGTCAACTTTGTAGAATTATGCCATTTTTGCAAATTTGACCATTTCTGGCATGTTTTTCGGTAATTTTGCGATATAAAAAAAATGGTATAAAATCACAACGCATTGACTTATTTTTATTTTACTTGCACGCAGTTTGCTGTATTTGTAACACATACATTCGGCACTGCACTGCGCCTCACCAGTATGACGGTGGCCAGTCCTGCAACTGAAGAAGAAGTAGATGATGATTTAAACGATGATGAAGACGATTAAGGAGAATATACCCCGCGGTCCTCTTTTAGAACTTTTTAATAGTCTTTTGATTCCCACAGGAAAAGTATTTTCCAATTTATATTCCCCCACCCTTGATCCTATCCCCGTACCCTTGCCAAGAGCGCCTGGAGACAGCCGGCGGGGAAATAATTTCAGAGGAAATAATGTTATGCATCGCCGCTTACCTCAGTTATGTTTTCTTTGTTATTTTCAGTGATCACAGAGTCAACGACTGAAGCGACGACCAAACCCACGACTAGCCCTACGACTACGATGTCGGAACACTCAGACACAACGACTTCCCAAAACACCACTACCTCTAGTATGTCTAATTAGCTATAGAAACATAGATAATACGTCATGTTTTTGCTCATTATCATAATGGGTCAAGCCATTATAGCCCCCCCCCTTCTCTCTCTATCGTATAATATCCTTCGAAATGTGCAAGTAAATATTGCAAAAAATCTCGCATTTCGTCCCCCTCCCAAATAGAAAAGAAATCGCCGCCCCTGACAACAGCAAATACGTCACAGCAATACATTTAGATAAAATATTGGGCAAAAAAGTCCTTTCGACTTTGACAAAACACCCCTATATCTAAATATTTTTCTGACACAGGTCATACCTTCTAAAAGAAATGAGCTATACAAATTTCTATTTTTTCATGGAGCTAAACTTCCATCGTTTTGGCATTCTAATCATGTTAATGTGTCATTCCTAATCTCTTTGCTTTGTACTTGTGGTTGCATTTGTTATAACCATGAACCCTCAATTAAATCATGATCATTCAACTTTAATAGTTATGTTTGTTGAAAACTTTTCAGAGTCAACAGAATCATCGACTTCGGACGGGAGGACCAACCCGACGACACGCCCTACGACCACGATGTCAGACACAACGACGTCGAAAGAAACCACCACCTCCAGTAAGTAAGAAAAACAAAGAAATGACGTCATGCATTTGATTATTATTATGTGTCTAGCCACTACCACTCCCCCTCCTTCTCTCTCTCTCCCTCTCTCTCCCCCTCACATACCTTCCCCTGCCACCTCTCTCCATCCCCTCTCTCTCTCTCCCTCTCTTTTCCTTAGTCTCTATCTGACTCTCTTTTTATTTGTCCTTTCCTTCCAAGGGCATGCTAACACTTTTTTTGAAGAGGGGGGGGGGGGGGGTACCAGTCTTTTTTATTTTGCCCACGAATTTAATGAAAACAAACACGCCACAGGAACAAATTAAGATACATCATTTGGCAAAAAATCCCAATTAATCTACAAATTATACCTCATAAAAGAAACAAACTGTAAAAAATCTATGTTTTCATGAAGCTAAATTGTCGTCGTTTCGGTTTCTAGCCCTGTTTAGGTGTCATTCCGAATCTCTTTGCTTTGTACGTGTGGTTTCATTTGTTATAACCCTGAACCCTCAATGACATCATGATCATCAAAGTCAGTTATGTTTGTTGAAAACTTTTCAGAGTCAACAGAATCATCGACTTCGGACGGGACGACCAACCCGACGACACGCCCTACGACCACGATGTCAGACACAACGACGTCGAAAGAAACCACCACCTCCAGTAAGTATAAGAAAAACAAAGAAATGACGTCATGCATTTGATTATTATTATGTGTCTAGCCACTACCACTCCCCCTCCTTCTCTCTCTCTCCCTCTCTCTCCCTCACATACCTTCCCCTGCCACCTCTCTCCATCCCCTCTCTCTCTCTCCCTCTCTTTTCCTTAGTCTCTATCTGACTCTCTTTTTATTTGTCCTTTCCTTCCAAGGGCATGCTAACACCTTTTTTTGAAGGGGGGGGGGGGAGGGGGGGGGGGTACCAGTCTTTTTTTATTTTGCCCACGAGTTTAATGAAAACAAACACGCCACAGGAACAAATTAAGATGCATCATTTGGCAAAATATCCCAATTAATCTACAAATTATACCTCATAAAAGAAACAAACTGTACAAAATCTATGTTTTCATGAAGCTAAATTGTCGTCGTTTCGGTTTCTAGCCCTGTTTAGGTGTCATTCCGAATCTCTTTGCTTTGTACGTGTGGTTTCATTTGTTATAACCCTGAACCCTCAATGACATCATGATCATCAAAGTCAGTTATGTTTGTTGAAAACTTATCAGAGTCAACAGAATCATCGACTTCGGACGGGACGACCAACCCGACGACACGCCCTACGACCACGATGTCAGACACAACGACGTCGAAAGAAACCACCACGTCCAGTAAGTAAGAAAAACAATGAAATGACGTCATGCATTTGATTATTATTATGTGTCTAGCCACTACCACTCCCCCTCCTTCTCTCTCTCTCCCTCTCTCTCCCCCTCACATACCTTCCCCTGCCACCTCTCTCCATCCCCTCTCTCTCTCTCCCTCTCTTTTCCTTAGTCTCTATCTGACTCTCTTTTTATTTGTCCTTTCCTTCCAAGGGCATGCTAACACCTTTTTTTGAAGGGGGGGGGAGGGGGGTACCAGTCTTTTTTATTTTGCCCACGAGTTTAATGAAAACAAACACGCCACAGGAACAAATTAAGATGCATCATTTGGCAAAATATCCCAATTAATCTACAAATTATACCTCATAAAAGAAACAAACTGTAAAAATCTATGTTTTCATGAAGCTAAATTGTCGTCGTTTCGGTTTCTAGCCCTGTTTAGGTGTCATTTCGAATCTCTTTGCTTTGTACGTGTGGTTTTATTTGTTATAACCCTGAACCCTCAATGACATCATGATCATCAAAGTCAGTTATGTTTGTTGAAAACTTTTCAGAGTCAACAGAATCATCGACTTCGGACGGGACGACCAACCCGACGACACGCCCTACGACCACGATGTCAGACACAACGACGTCGAAAGAAACCACCACCTCCAGTAAGTAAGAAAAACAAATAAATTACGTGATGCATTTGATTATTATTATAATGTGTCTAGCCACTACCACTCCCCCTCCTTCTCTCTCTCTCCCTCTCTCTCTCCCTCACATACCTTCCCCTGCCACCTCTCTCCATCCCCTCTCTCTCTCTCCCTCTCTTTTCCTTAGTCTCTATCTGACTCTCTTTTTATTTGTCCTTTCCTTCCAAGGGCATGCTAACACTTTTTTTGAAGAGGGGGGGGGGGGGTACCAGTCTTTTTTATTTTGCCCACGAATTTAATGAAAACAAACACGCCACAGGAACAAATTAAGATACATCATTTGGCAAAAAATCCCAAATAATCTACAAATTATACCTCATAAAAGAAACAAACTGTACCAAAGCTATGTTTTCATGAAGCTAAATTGTCGTCGTTTCGGTTTCTAGCCCTGTTTAGGTGTCATTCCGAATCTCTTTGCTTTGTACGTGTGGTTTCATTTGTTATAACCCTGAACCCTCAATGACATCATGATCATCAAAGTCAGTTATGTTTGTTAAAATATTTTCAGAGTCAACAGAATCATCGACTACGATCGCGATGACCAAGCCCACGACGCGCCCTACGACCACTTTGTCAGACACAGCGACATCGCAAGAAATCACCACCTCCAGTAAGGCCCGGTCACACAGCCCTCCACGGGCGTATCGCGGCCGAATCACGGCCAAAAATTTCTGCCCGTGAAGCAGACGCTGTTGGACGCTTTGAGGTCGCGATAAAGACGCGATAAAGCCGTACTTTACCCGTCGTTACACGCGGTAAGAAATTCACACGCGGTTGGCCGCGCGAAAAAGTTTTGGGCTGCCCAAAAATTTAGACCGCGGGTAATCGCGGGCTGTACACGTGGTACACACGCGGTAAAGACGCGGTACAGACGCGGAACGAACATGCTAGGACGTGCTACGGCCGCGGTTAAGACGTGGTTACACGCGGTAGGACGCGAAATTTTAGCGGGTAATCGCGGGTGGAGCACGGTCATAGCACGTTTGTTCCGCGTCTGTACCACGTCTGTACCGCTAATATGCATTAGCGTGTGTACCGCGTGTAAGCACGGAGCGGTTATGATTTCTACAGCCCGGTTCGGCTGCTTTATTATACCCGTGGTAGGCCGCGGTACCGCCGCGCTTCACCCGCGATAAGGACGCGGAACAGTCGCCGCCGTCTGTTCCGCGGGCATACCACGGGTAAACCGCGGGTAAGCCAATTTTGCACATTTTCCACCACGGGCAAAAAAAATTTTTTTTGCCCGCGGTTGCCCGTGGTGGAAAATGTGCAAAATTGGCTTACCCGCGGTTTACCCGTGGTATGCCCGCGGAACAGACGCCGGCGACTGTTCCGCGTCCTTATCGGGGGTGAAGCGCGGCGGTACCGCGGCCTACCACGCTTACACGCGGTACACACGCTAATGCACGTGATAACAACGCGGTACAGACGCGGAACAAACGTGCTATGACCGTGCTCCACCCGCGATTACCCGCTAAAATTTCGCGTCCAATTCCGCGTGTAACCACGTCTTAACCGCGGCCGTAGAACGTCCTAGCACGTTCGTTCCGCGTCTGTACCGCGTCTTTACCGCGTGTGCCACACTTGTACCGCCCGCGATTACCCGCGGTCTAAATTTTTGGGCAGCCCAAAACTTTTTCGCGCGGCCAACCGCGTGTGAATTTCTTACCGCGTGTAACGACGGGTAAAGTACGGCTGTATCGCGTCTTTATCGCGACCTCAAAGCGTCCAACAGCGTCTGCTTCACGGGCAGAAATTTTTGGCCGTGATTCGGCCGCGATACGCCCGTGGAGGGCTGTGTGACCGGGCCTTAAGAAAAAACAATGAAATGACCACGTGCATTTGATCATTATTATAATGGATCTAGCCACTACCCCTCTCCCCCTACCCTCTCTCTCTCTCTCTCTTTCTCTCTCTCTCTCTCTCTCTCTCTCTCTTCTCTCTCGCTCTCTTTCTCTCTCTCTCTCTCTAACTATAATATTATGAGATGCTATAGCTTAGTGATAGAGCAGTGGTCTCGTATCCGGGAGGTCCTGGGTTCGAAACCAAGTTGATGCGCTGGTGCCCTTTGGCATTTATCCTCATTAATAAGTCCTTCAGAGAGGACTTAGTGCCGTCGCACAGTGGGCCAGGGAGGAACCAAAGTGCGCCAAAACTAAGTTTGGGTGATTTTTATTTTCCAATTTTTTTCTTGCCCAGTTGAAAGGTAATACATAGAGGAATACCTCAGTGAAATATTTAATTCTGGTATGCACAATAAGGGTATAAATTTACTACTTCAAACAGCAAAATCCTACATATTCACAGTTTTAGTGCAAAAGTGACTTATTTTATAAATCTTTCAATTCAACATGAAGTTTTTAAGTTATTGATATGAAATTGCTCTCACATATTCCTGATAGTTCATTTCGTTGAATGAATGGGTTAAAATTAATGGAAACACAATCTTCATGATATATTATAGGGTAATTCACTGAAAAATGGACTAATTATCCATGTTTTTTTATAAATCCAGAAGAAATGTTTAGATCTCCGCGGTGTACCGCTTAAATTTTAATACCACCATTTTCTCTGATGTCTAAGCTTTAAGTTGATACCAAATTTGGCTGCCCGATCTTGCCCGTTGTTATGTTAGAGCCGATTTCCCTTGCCACATTGCCCCGAAAAATGTGGGTTTTGGGGGTCCGCGGCTGAATCATGAAGGATTCGTGGTCATAAATCACGGAGCGAGGGGGCGCGTGACACTTGTTCTGACACCGCGGACCAAAATAAACACATTTTTCGGGGCAATGTTGCAAGGAAAACGGCTCTAACATAATAACGGGCAGAATCGGGCAGCCAAATCTGGTATCAACTTAAAGCTTAGACATCAGAGAAAATGTTGGTAATAAAATTTATCCCTGGAAATCCAAACATTTCCTCTGGATTTATAAAAAATAAATCCCCAAACATGAGTTTTGGCGCACTTTGGTTCCTCCCTGGCCCACTGTGCGTCGGTCCCCTAGTTGCTTGATTACAAGCTTCACATATTCTCTTAGCAGTCAGGTAAACAAACAATATTAACCACAACAAAACCTGCAAAAAACACATTGTGAATTAACCTGAATTTGCGATGGTAAGCAAACAACAAATTATTATCATAATCATTATTAATATTATTTTCATTATTATTATTATAACTGTAATCATTATTATTATTATTATTATTATCATCACAATCTTATTATCAACATTATCATTTGTATTATTATTATCATTATCGTTTTTGTTGTAGTCATCATTATCATCATTATTTATTCTACTTTGACTATTTAAGTTCCTACCCAAATAATAAATTTGTTTACTTTCTTAAGATTGAGTAATTTAAATATTGTTTTTATCTTTTTAGCTTACCTATCTCCTCCGGTGGAATACGGCGGGTCGTTCTACAATTTCAGCACGTCCACGATGAATCAAACTTCTGCAGTTTTAGCTTGTTTCCAATACGGATCCCATCTGGTCTTCATCGAGTCCCAAGAGGAACAGGACTTCATCGAAAGGAGTGCCAGTGAGGACTCCTGGATCGGGCTGACCGGCTCAAGTCCCGGTGAGGCAAGGTGGCTGGACGGATCAACAGTTACATATAGCAAGTTTAAAACGCTATCGTTCGACGACAATGGAAACTGTTTTCGAATTAGAGTAAATAATGGTTATAGTTGGGAGGATAAGGATTGCTACAACCAATTAAGATTCATATGCGAGAAATAAGTGCGAATATAATAATTGGATTTGCTTCTTTCTGTTGTTCATACTACCTGGTTGCACCACTGATTGCATCTGAACATCAAGATGGGGGCAGGCGAATACCCCCCCCCCCTCAAAAAAAGCTTTATCGGAGCTTTAGGAATGTTCGAGTTCGTGTTTTTTTGGTCGTTCCAGGCACTAATTTTCTCATGAACAGCATTGAAAAGATTGTTAAAGAGATGTTAATTTATAATATTAAAAGGCGGATCACTTTTTATCTTTACATTCAAGCAATTTAAAAATAATCATATAAATGATTAATATCAGTGGCGGTTTGTTCTTTTGTGTTTTATAGAATCTCATTTTTATGGCAAAGAGACTTTGTTCAAACTTCATTGTATAATAATAGTAAGTAGTTCATGAAATGATGAAACGTCATAGATATGTGATTACAACATAAAAGTGCAGTTTGTGTAATAAAGTAGTTTATAGGGTCTTTGATGAATAAACATACATGTACACATATATATACATGTGAATACACATATACAAATATACATGCTTAAACTTATGAATATACATATCTGTTTGTT